CAGTTATAGGTATGATCCCTAGACAGATTTTAGCAAATTAACCATTAACTGCCGCACAATTAACAGAATGTTGGGTTATTGAATTATCGGGACGTTTTGTGGACCAATTGTGTAAAAGAAAATGGTGTTTAATGGTACAATCAGACACAGTGCATAATTTATCCCGCCTACATTTGCGTGTCATATGATTGGGTTTGAGGCAATTAAAACACAATTTAGATTTTATGACAAACCTGTTCCTATCTTCTAAAGACAATTTTCTAAATTGATCACATAAAGATTTTCTAATGTATTTTGACGTTTGGTTTTCTGTGTATGTAGTTATTTTACCTTTTGTGGTATTTCCTGACGCAGACGCTTTATTTCCCGGACATTCTACTTTTACAACATCAATGCCGTAAACTGAGCTAGCAACACGGGACCTTTCATCAATAAATTTGGCCAATTCAAAGAAATAAGGTTCTCTCCCTGATTTAAAAATAGAGTGGACTACCTCTGCCCATCTTGATCTCAAATGCATAGTGAGACGTCTTACAATGCGCCTTAAATTCTCAGATTTAATAACGTCAGAAACAAACCCTAGTTGTGAAAGTGTCATTTGACATTTTTGCATATCTAAAGCTAATTGAGACAATCCTTTCACATCAGATGCATTAATATTAGGGCCAAGCAACAATTTATCAATATGACTTCACGCAACAACATGTGGCTTACCATAACGAGATTGCAAAATTGATTTAGCTCGGTTATACCCTACATTTGAATCAAATAACACACAATCTTCTATTCAAGATTTTGCCTCACCAGTGCAATATTGTATTAAATAACTTAATCTTAACCTATTGTCACTTACTTTGCACTCAATGATGGTCTCAAAATTTTTAATGAACTTACAATAATCAAGCGCAGAACTGTTGAATGTCAATAACTCTGGTTTTGGTAAATTAAATCCTTCTTAAATAATTGATGCAAGTCGTTCCACTTCTAAACCGGAAGTACTATTTCCGCAATCTTGCTTCGTAACATCTCCGAATTTACGTACTTCTGCAGCCTCGTGATCTTAACTGGAACAAACACGAGAATAACGTGCCGTATTGCTATCGGCTACATTATCATTTCGATAAGTATGTCCAAAATCCATTTTTTGGCACAATATGTCCATCTTCTAATATGTCGTCTGCTTCTATCACCGTGCTTCCGTCTGCCCACATTGACTCCTCCAGCCTCGCTTCCATCAAAGCACTTTCTTGATCCAGTAGTTGCGATTTATCTTTGAGCTGCTTCTGTATTGCCTCTTATCGCAATTTCTCCTTCTCCAAAGCTTGTTTTTCTTTAAGAGCCTTAAGTTTTTGTTCTGCTATAAGGAGCATAACTTTTGCGTTTCTTAGCCGAGTTGCGGATGAAACGGCACTACTGAGTACTGATGCTACGGGATTCCATTTGGCATATCTTTCCTTGAATACTATAAAGTTCACTCTGCAACTTTCAAAGTTCTTCTCTAGTGTTTCTATAGTTTTTGGATCTTCGCAAAAGTCTAAACATTCAAAGTGTGTTGATTTAAATTTCTCGTATCTTTCACACAGTCGATCAAACAATTTTTTACTTTTTGCTCATTTTCAGTGCTTAACATCAACTCTTCGAGTTCTTTATAAATCTTGGTTAACTGAGCCAAATGCTCTGTCCGCGATTTCCGTGCAGTATCGTAGTTCATTATTTTCTTTTAGCGATTATAGTCGACAGTGTTGTGAATTGTTCAGGATTCAGAAAACCAAGTAAGAAATGCACTGCAATCTTGTAATTTCGTTTATTTCACATCTACAAAGTTCATATAATTGTAGCTATGCGAAGCGTAGCGATTCTCAACAATCCTGTCAATTTAATTAATTTCTTCAATCCTGAAAATTTACTGTAATAATAAATAAATATTTTACATATTTTTATATATATATATTTGATATATTTATATATATATAATATATATTTTTTTATCAAAAACCGCTACCGTTAATGTCTTCAAAAAATAAACTTGTTTGTAATCTTTTTATGTAACTTCTGGAAAACTCTGCCGTCCGTGACGTCGCTAAAAAGGCGGCGACGTTAACGTGACGCGAGAGCTTTTAGCGCCAAAAAGTGAACAAATTAAAATTTTAAGAATGTTAATAATTCTTACAGGTGGAGATTTTGAAGCAATTCAACACAATAGTAGATTGATCTCCTAAAAAATCAATTAACAATAGATCTTTGTTTATAACCAATGTTAAGAAGCTTTTATATATTTGACTCGCATGAACATAATGTTAGTAAATTTCCTCATGCCTGTCTCAAAATTCTGGTAACAGTCTTCCATTGATAGATAATGTTTCACTACATCAACATATCATGCAATTTTTTATGATTTAATGTACCTTTATTTTTGTTTACAAAATAAATCCTACATTTGGCCTTTTTGAGGGTCGTCCAAAATATTTTATTCCAGTGTGTGTTCTACTTTCAGTATTTATCTGTGACTTAAAATATAGCTACTGTATATTAGGTCCCAGGTATCAAAAGAAATCAGTTTTCCTTATTTTACATGATAAAAAAGCATATAAAATTACTATAACAGTCCCTTTTGTTACTATTGATATAATGTCTGTATATTTGTTACAATTATTATAATAACAAGAAGTATCTTTAAAAAAGATACTCGGCCGAATTAAAACTGGTTTATTTGCATATCGTATTATAGGAAACATGGAATAGAAGCATGATCCTATTATGGCATTTTACGTTTAAATTTTTGAAATATTAAAATCATATGCATGTTTTGGCACATCCAAAGTATTTTAGATAGAAACAAAATGTAAAGTCTGAAGTAAATCAAAATTTCAAAAGAAAACAATACAAATAGAAAATACATGGTTGATGTCGGGATGGAAAAGGTTTATCCGGTGAGCGAGAAAGTGTATCTTGGCGAGCTTTAGCGAGCCAAGATTCACTTTCGCAGCGAACCGGATAAACCTTCTCCTTCCCGACATCAACCATGTATTTGATTTATCCTGCTTTTTATCATTTTTTAGAATAATTAAATGGTTTCATTCTTCTTTTCCCCCGATAAAATAGCATTTATAAATATGCAGTTTTGTTTTGCTGCTAAAGATGTGACGTCATCATGTGACGTAATGACTGAAGATAGATAAGTTTATCCGGCAAGGCTTTATCCAGCTGAGCAGGATAAATACCCGGATCAACAGATTTCCAACACCTTTGGAAATAACAAAAGATACATAAAGTCCGAAAAAAGAATCGAAAGTAAGCTTTGTAATCTAAAAATACGTCGATAAACAAACCATTCAATCGTTAGCAGTAAAATAAATTCTTCATAAAATTGTTAAATATATGAAAATTATCAACTTTGTATCCATTTCACATCAACTGGTACTACCGGATAAGTTCGTTTACTTGTGTGTTTTTTGCCATATTTATGCGCATGAGTACACGGGATGTAAGTGGTGGTTTCGTTAATGTTTGACAAAATTTATAGTCCATTAAAGCAACGTAAAATAATCTGTATGAAGATGTATGGTAATATAGAACTTATAATGAGTTGGAGAAGGCATTGTTAAACAGAAGTTATGTATCTGAAATTTAACTTGATAGTAAAACAGCTTGTATATGAATTTAGATAGTTCGTTCCCAGAACTCCTTTAGATCAAGTAAAGATTAGACGCGTTTACCTTGTAAGAAAAATTCCTTTATGTCATTTTACTAAGTTTACAATAGCCATTCAGATTTCAGATTGTAATTTTTAAATGACCAATGGAATTTTTACATATATTAAGTTCTTCCCTGTAAATTTTATAGGAAGTCCAACTAAAATTAGATTGCCTCCGGCCGAAAAAAATCCAGACTTTGTTCATTTTTACTACTGTATTGTATGTTTCACAGAAAATACATTTAATATTCTTATCTCTAGCAAGCCTACCAAAGTTCATGATGAACAATGTTTTTCGTCCGCCCATTCATCTATGATATACATGTAATATTCTGGTAAAATCCAATTAACCATTGAAAAGTTTATAGAATATCTGGTCATCAGATGTTTGCTAGTTCATCGTCACTTGCTGCATTTCTTGTTTGGACTCCCTTTAATGCTTTGCATGAATGCCTTTCTTGTTATAACATGATATACCATTTGCCGCGAAACATGTAACATTTGAAAAATAAAGTCGATGAAATTTTTTTTTTTTTTTTTTTTTTTTTTTTTTTTTTTTTTATTTACAAATTTTATGCTTGTTTGCATCCCTTCACGTTACATTTAATATTTCAAAGGATGAGTTAGCATGAGAGTGTACTGAACAATTGTTATCATGAAATTAAGTGGCTAAAAAGGGTAACTTATATTAGACTTACAACTTAGTGAGTATAGGGCCATTCAAATATTCATTTACTATTACAACACTCAATGAATCTGAGGATGAAAGTTCAAATAAAAGAAGATGAAGTATATACAAAGTCAGCAGATGTATTACATATCTTCCTAAATTATTTTACTTCTTTTTTAATTAAGTTCAGTGTAACTACATCTCGACTGACTGATAAAAGGGCGGTTTCTTATAAGTTGCCCCAAAACTTTCAGATTTACGTCCCATGAATTTCAAATTGTCATGAAAATATATTTTATAACTTTTTTATTTCTTAATGTATCTCTACTCAGTCTTCAAATATATGCTACTTATCATAATACACATCTTATTTAATAAGATTCATACTACTAGCACGTATATCATCAGAATAATCATACTTGAACTTATAAATATATTATAAAAAATGTTTGTGTTCTGAAACTTATTTATTTCTAAAGGTATCGATTTAAACTTCAAGTACGAATATGTTCCATATTTTGACGCAAATCTTGTGTGAAAAGATCCAATACTCTAGCTTGACTATTTTCAGAAATTAATGAAATTTAACGTACTAATAACTGTTCGAATGTGTTCGGTATATGTTTATCTTTTAAGGAAAGCGATTTTGCAGATTGCATCCCTGACAGTCATTTTTCTAGAGAATCTGAATACTCTGAAGTAAGTATCTAAATTTGTTTGTTTGTTTTAGTTTTATCAAGGGTGTGATCTAGGGTAAATTCTGTATGGGTCGGAATACAGCTTCTACGCCGAAGAGAGGAGATATTGCCCATCTATTAAATAGCACAATTCATCAACTCTTAGTACAGTATTTTGAACTAACCCTACTGGATTTCTGTTAGCATTCGCAACTGAGAATTTGTACACGTAACTATACTGTCAGTATTACATCATTTAAAAGCACTGCTAACATTTGTTCATAAATACAAAAATCCGAAATAATTCGTTTAAGTAAAAGTCAATTTATATCGACCACGTTTCTTTTTAAAGACACTTTTTGGTTGTTTTACTAAATTAATTATACATATTAATCTATATATATCCGTGATAAATTTTGATTATGGTAGTTGAATATGTCTCATTTATATACTTGTATACTGTCAGTATTCTGAAGTTTTCGAAATGTATGTTATCTTCATTTTATTATATATAGTTGTTTTTAGCGAGTCGGCCATATTCTTGCATTTAGCAAGTTACATCATAATATAAAATAGGACATGAAAAATTATGCAAGATTAAGATTGAGATTAAGATACACAAAAAGATACATAGATATTATTTTTAATAGACAACAAGTTTCCAAAAATTATTTACCTGGAAGCATTTTGCAAAATGCCAAAATTGCTTACATACGATGAAATATTTTCAAAACAACTTGAGGAATATTGCTATCAGGGAAGATATCGTTCTTTATAATTTAATTTATATGTATTTTTTACCATTCTGTCAAGGATGATGAAACTATCAGCGATAATAACGCGGACATACAGGATGGCGATGAGTGGTATGGTTGTGTTAGTGTGAGTAAGAGTTTACAATTTTTCTGTGTCCTTTGAATATTAAGATAGTATTACGGATAAATAAGGCATTGAAGTAATGTTTTATAGAAATTATTTTTCAAAGACATTTCATGCATCTTGTATTATATATGTGTTGTTATTTGGCAAACGTTTGATATATATATTTATTTAAGTATGAGAAACTGTAATAAGTTGGTTTTGTTAACAAAAACGAAATTTCTTTTAACAATATCTGCGCATTTTTTTGTAGACTATTAGACACGGAGGGAAAGATGATTTATCTAAAACTCTTAAATCAAACACAATTAAGCAGGACACAGACGCAGATGGCAATACGTTCTTGCACATTGCTGTGTACGAAGATAAAGAAGATAAGTTAGACTTCTTACTTGAAAAATATCCTAAACAGATAAATAAAGAAAACAAGAAGAAACAAACACCTCTGCATATCGCAGCAAAACTTAACAGAAGTGAAATTGCAAGGAAACTTATTGAAAAGTAAGATAGGATTTTGAACATTGTAAAAATTAAGAAATGTGAAAACTATTTGGTCATATAAACTTGCAGGTTTTTAGCGCCTGGTCTCATTTTAGGGATGACTTGTAACTGAAAGTTTTGTTGTGTAGGGTACGATTCATGTGTAAATGTTTACAAAATAAGTATAGATACCATTCCCTTGTTTATGTCATTGGTGATCATCTAATTGGTATTTAAATGACACGAAAACTTCAAGGTTCAACTAAAAGTAAAACATAGATTCGCAGATGCACTTTTGACTGTGTACACTTTAGTAGAAAAATCATTTTCAGCTTATGCTAGGAGTTGTTGATTGGTGTTTTCCATTCACAATCACTCATAAACAGACTCAAAACGAGTCAGTAATGATAACAATCTTATGATTTCACTCACGAAGAATGACTCCTTTTCAAGATTTTCTTAATTTGAAAATAACAAGTTATAATGGAGGTTAAGCACACCACACTTTTATAGGACCAAAATCAAAACAAACCATATTTTTACAGATTAATAATGTTTCTGCCAGTAAAAATAGATATTGTGCATAAATCAAGGCGGATTTGTCAACTTTGGCTTTGGGCGATCTAAATGGTATTTTTTACCGTTCATCTCTAAAGGGAAAATGAAAAAAATACAGATATATTATAATACCAGTATGACTTCTATTTGTATTTTATTTGTAGATAGTATTCCAAATAAGGAAAGTAATAACAAAATATCGTATGCATATTTTAACATTAAAGGCGACTTACAAGTCACATTTACGTTGTAGCTACATATTAAAACCATTAATGAACTGAATGTAAAGCTTACAGAGATGAGGCGTTATATATGAAGTTCGAAATAAGTCCCTGAAGTATACGGATATCAGTTAATACGAAGGTTTTACATTGTCTACATTTACCTTAAGTAAATGGTTTGAAATGAATATATAATCACCTTTCGTACACGGATGTACAAGTTTAGTTTAATCATATCTTATGTCAAGCATTTGCACAAAATATATAACACTTATACACATATATAATACAAGAAAAATCAAATACGGAAGCTTACAATGCTTTTACAATTTTTTTCGTGACTTGTACTTCATTACTGCAAATTTAGCGGTAAAGTAGTCCGGCTAGAATGTGCTACATAGAAGTTTTTTTTATTGACGTTTGATTGAATATTTGTATTAACTGTACAAAATAAGTTAAGCATATATCTTGGAAATTTTACAGATAAACAAATGTTGAAGTTTACGAATATGTGACTTATTCTAAGTTCCCATGATAATTCTCCATTTAGTTAGTTTATACACATTTATTTTAGTTCGATTGTGCTGGAAATCATAAGCTTGATGAAACACTCAATTACAACTTCATAATACATGTAATTGATTAAAAACATATAAATCTGAGAGTAGTACTTTTGTTGTACTTGATTCAAGCAAATGCAAGGAGGAAAACATATTTCTATATGCTTCAGGGAAGCCGAAAGAGATATCCAAGACATAAACATGTTCACCCCTCTATTGACTGCCGTTATGTACGACAGTCTAGAAGTGTTCGATCTTCTAGTCGATGAGAGCACAAATGGTGGATCTAAAAATATAGACATGCAGTTACTTCAGATAGCTGCAAAACACAACAGTAAAAGAGTCGCAGAAAAACTGATACAAACACATGATGCGGCATTTCTAGCAAGTAAAACGGACGAAAGTGAAACAAATCTTGTTCACTTAGCCACGGATAATAACAGTGTCGATGTTTTAGAAGTAAGGTGCCACAGTTGCTTCAATATATTCTATTTTAATGCTTATAAAATTATTAGGACACATATCAAGAAAAGACATATGGCTTATATAAAAGTTATGAATAAAAACTTGAAAACAATGGTAGTTTTATTTAATACAACTTTCCAATTTGTAAATGGCTACTTCGATTTAATAAACATGGATTTATTTAATGTAAAACAAATATATATGGACATATGGTCACTGTGGTGTAACATTATACCAAAATCAATATATTTTGCTAGAATGGTTCCATACACTGAATCATGATTTCATATAGCGTATTTGTAAAACTTTCTAGTTACTATAATAGTGTTTTCTAACGGAATATTGTTATCATTACTTTATATCTAATTGATACGATCAATTTCCTCCCTTAGATGCTGCTGAAAAAAAACCATACTTCTGCATTTGTGAATAATGATGATCCATTGAAACCGGAAACCGTCTCTACAGTGAGTAGATCTATTTAGTTTACAAGTCGTACAATTTAGCTGAGTATATTTTCGTTATTATTTTATAACACTTACCACCAAATGAATGTGAAGCAAACGAGTTTAAAATGTTATGTTTACCTTACTTTATTCTTAAAGATCCTGTACCACTTTTTTTCATGGTTTTATTTCATAAATATGATGCTCAAATTAAGATTTGTCAATATTGTAAGTTCAAATAAGCACTATTTATAAAGATATTACCCGTTTTAAAATTTCATGTAAATAAATGGAGGTAATTAGAAATTTATTTTCTATAAATTCTAAGTCAAATTTTCCTATAAGAAATAAATGCATGTGATTTATTGATTAAATATAATATGCATAAATATTTGCAGTACACATTTTACATATTCTTTGATGTTGGAAAATTGTTTTATTTGCATATTTATATACATAATTATATAATTTTTGAGAGTGTGGTATACACAAAGTAGCAATATCAATCACAAAACATACAGGATCGTTAAGGCTTGGTCTGAACAAATACAACCAAAGTACCATCTCGCACAGTCAAGAATTTAATTTTTGGCTCAGTGATCTAGAGCCTTTTCTTTGTCCATTTAAAGCCGGTGATCATACTGGTGGCAAGATTGATTCTGAAATATTTTCATTTAGTAAGAATACAACTTTTAAAGGAAAGAAACAATTAGAATGAGATTCAACATAATCTTTCTGCAATCAACGATCATGTTGTCTCTTTTTTGTTTTACTATAAACATACGTTTTGAATGTATATAACCATGTTATTACACATGTTGTCGACATTGCAGTTATTTCACAGAACACGTCTTTACAGGAACACTTCATCGACAGTTCCTATTTTCAGCATATTTAGATGTTTCTTCTGTCATGTTAGTTAACTAAAGAATTATAATTATATGGCATAACTTCTAGAAAAAGTTTCTTTCTTCAAAAAATATTATATTGAATGTGACATTTAAGGAATGACCTTTACTTTCAATTTATTTTTTCTGAAGTTTAGTTATAAAATAAAATGTAAAGGATAGTTCTTGCCATTATAAAATAAAATGTCAAAGATAGTTCAAAAGCAAAACGGGATAGATCTCTAATTGTCTAGTTAAGTTGCTAAGATTTCTAAATTATGTTTTACCATACATACTTCCATAAAATATTTTAAGCGTTCACTTCGTCAAGATCTTATCAAATTTTCGAGTGAACATTTTATTTTACATTAGAACATTGAGTTAATTTAACACAAGGTCGTATTGAGTTATTAATTTTGTCTAAATAACGAGACCTCCATTCATGTTCACGATCCTGTACGTTTACTCATGCACATGAAAATATCTAAATACACACCAAAAAGTCCAAATCAAGTATCTTCAGTTTATGATGTTTAATAGGTGTCCAATATCTTATATGATCATAGGTGAGTTCAATTGGTATAATGTTTATACATCTTTTCATATATCTTTGCATATAAATCAAGTATTTATAAATTATATATAATTGCCTACGGCTGCGTAGAAATTGAGTTCCCTTACCAAAACATGGCAAGTTCATTTAGGAACGCATACATCTTGCAGTGGTCCATTTTTCAAGATTAATAACAATGCATAAATCGTTCTATTGATTCTTCTGTCAATTGAAACAAAGGTTTTTATACATAAGACAGGTATCTTACGATTTTCCTTTTTTTTTTTTTGGATTTTCAGTGTTTTTTCAGTATTTCGTATGCGTATTGGTTATAATATGTTCACGATTGAAAATGAACTGTTACAAAATCCATTAACACAAAGTAAATTATTCATTTGGTGTGTAGCTTCAGACCCAAACCCTTTCTCACAATTAATGTGGTGGGTGGAGCTATGGTCCACTATTAGGTCTATCTCGAGTTATCACAATTGTTTTTGTTTGTGAAACCAAGGCCGGTAAACAGTGTTTTATAATGTTTTTATATTTTCCCTTTTCATCATAGCTGTTTGTATTAAATCAATGATAAACCGTTCATAAGTTGATTGTTGATTTTATCTATCCATCATACCTTTATCCCTATTTGCAATATTTCATATGTGATTTCTTTATAATGATGCATATGATTATTAAATTTATTAAACAAACGTAAAGAACGTAAAGACAAGCAATAGGGACATTTAGATAAAAACTGTAAAATAGAAGAGGCATTAATATTAATATACTTATAATTTGATTTCTTTGATTATAAAACGGGCTTTTTCTCAGTTACAAGAAATAATTATTATGTCATTGTTTTGCAAGCATGCTAACATTTTTACATCGAAAACTTAGAAATAACATATGTAAGTTAGCCAGCTTTTCTTCAGTCGAGTGTCTTTCTGTTTTTTAAGTCTTATATATATCAATATCCATTAAAATCTCTTGCGCATTAGGTCATGTAGCTATTATTTAGGCTAAATATTGTCAAGAAATATAAATATAATGTATTATAATCATGTAGTCATATATAATTGCATGTATTGGACATTAACAGCGCAAAGATGGTGATAAAAACATCAAAAAACAAATTACTACTCCACTTCATATCGCTGCACGCGCAGGGTACTTGGACTGTTTGAAGGTAAGTTATAAAATTTAAATGAATATGAAGATCTACTTTGAACTCATTGGCTATCGTTCACATGAAAAGTAGTGCCTTAAGCATCAATTGAATTTGGCAGTTAACGTAAGCTGGAATAATTGGAACGTAAGGTATGACTATCCTGATGCCAATCAGATTAAAATCAGCTCTAAATAAAGCTCCGCTTTTAGATCTGACCGTGACCAATCATTTCTGGTGACCTTTTACACAGCTTATCATCTGCGAGCTTTCATAATTTTGAAAGCGATGTGGTTCTTAATTTTAATCCTTGAAAACCTGCTGAGTAGGTAAATTTCACGATTTTGAGAACAAACATGGCGTTGTCTATATAATCGACAGGTAAACTGGCAAAATAATCTTGCCCATTGAAATTGACTCTATTATTTCAAGTTAATTTCTAACAAAAATCAACAATTTGTTTAACTTCCACGGATAACGGTTTTTTTTTATACTTCTGTTAATGCCTATATAAAAACCGGTTTGATTGCATGGCTAAAAATAGCTTTCTGAGACTCGAGAAATCCCAATTATAAAGAAGGCGAAATATATACGGTCGTCATCAGATTTACAGAAAAGAAATAAGTAGATGAACTTTAGTCAGATTGATCCTAATGCAAAACATCCGCTTTGAAGAGTATTTTTTGTAGGCTACAAATACTGTCAACTGCATTTAAACTGAGGATCGTAGGTTCAAACCCAAGTAGGCTCAACTACTTTTCTTTCATTTTTTTCTTTTATCATTGTTTAAGTATCATTCAGATCATAGTGTTTAATTTTGATTATATAATAATGATAGGAATTTATTGGCTAAATAATGCTGAATTTATTTATTCATTTGATAAGAGGCCCTTAACTGGGTATTTTTAGGGATATTTTAAATAAGACTCTAAGCAGGAAAATTGTCAAATGATGTTACAAATGGTGGGGTAGTGTACATGTTTTTACATATTTCAAACATTGTAATTTTGCTTCAGTCATTTGTTTGCTGAATGTTATCATTTACTTCTTCATAGTTATAAATAGGAAAGGATGATATAATAGATTATTTAGACTTTTCATATTTGTTAAAATGAGCCTTCTAATATAATAAAGTGTCCATAACTTGTTAACCGTACGGTAAATTTTGTTTCAACTTTGCATGCAGGTGTCCAGGCATATGACAGACCTATTTTGACATTCTTTTCAGTTCTTTATAGTGCCAATTAGGTTGGTCATACTTTATGAAACTTCTTATCATTTTTTTCTGTTATTTTTTTTATAAATATATTATAATCTGATTCATTGCATGTCAATTAAGAATATTTCAAGCTATTCTTACATATTTTCTTCACGAAATTGCTCATAAAATATATCATAACATCATAATGGATCAGCTAAGACGGTATACGTGATTTTTTTATAAGATATAAAGTTAAATACGAGTTTTGTTTCTAACTGTATCAGGTTTTAATAAGAGTTCGTGAGGTAGACTTCTATAGACAATCTGAACATGGAGAAACAGCTCTACATCTAGCAGCTGCAAATGGAAAGAAAGGGTAATTAGGTGTTCAGCTTGAATGATTTTTGTCATTTAAAGCTAAGATATCTTACGTAAATAAATTATCAGGCTTCTTGTTTAGTTAAATCATTTTAATTGTAGTCAGCTTTATTTGTCAGCATATGAAATCCATGTCTTTTTGTTTGTTTGCTTGGGTTTTACGTCACACCGACACAGTATAGGTCATTTGGCGATATTCCAGCTTAACTGGCGGAGGAAGACCTCAGGTGCCCTTCCGTGACTTATTTCAGGCCCAAACGGGCACCTGATTAGAACCACCGACGTTCCATAAGCTAGCTGGATAGCTTTCTCACATGAAAGAATCCAAAGTCCCTGTCGGGATTCGAATCCACAGCGGTGAGGGGCAAGTGGTTTGAAGTCAACGACCTTAACCACTCGGCCACGGACGCCCCATGTCTTTTTGTAGTTTACGTGAGTTTTAAATATCATTTAATGAATGAGTATAAATCTGTTAATAGAAGTTGAATCGTTTGTCCATAAAACGTACTATGTTGCTCAGAAAAAAAAGTACCATGAATGTATTCATATGGCGAGAACTGTTCTTGGTGAAAGAATTTAGTTATTACAGCATTACCTTTAATTCAGTACTTTACATTTAAAATAATTGATACTAATGTCTCTACTTTGGTCATGTTTGCTATTTTATTTAATAGTTATAACAAGAACTCTTTAAAAGAATATCTTAACCAGTGGAGTATGTGAAATAACGATCATATTCTTAATGACACGTTCCTTCTAGTATAACGAAGCTCTATGAAACAGGTTATTTATCGGGAGATAATATAATTATAATTCTAAGCACTGCTTTATATTTTGGCCAAATAAACCCGCATATTAAGTATAGGGACCATTCAAGTGTTCAATATTGTTCAATTGGCTGGCAGCTACGCTGGTATAATCCATAGTCATCGATTGACCTGGTCCACGTCAAAGAACACATGGGTTCATTTGTGATACTGTTGACCAAGCAATAAATAGAAAACGCGGAGCTAAATTTTCTAATGTCAGTAAAGGTCCATGGGCACAATTTTCTGTTCTTTAGAAATTAAAAACATCTAATATCACTTCTTCCTCGTCCAAGTTTTTAATTTCTGTATAACAGTTAGGATGAACACGTAACTAAAAACTTAATGATATAGAATTGTCAACTTGAAAAGTTATTTTATCTGATATTAAATGTGATTCTTATGTTTTCAAGCAATGTTCATATACATTAAAAATGTCGTTCTTCTATTCATGTGTTGTTATCTTTAATATGATTAAAATATTCATTCAAATTTTTTGATAAAAATTCAATGTGTTAACTTATACAAGTAACGTTGTATTTTAAAGAGTTGTTGAAGAATTGCTTAAAGCTGCACCAGAACTGAAGGACGTGAAGGATGCATCGGGACAAACTGCACTTTATTCCGCAATCAAACATGTGAAAATCGTAGAGATTCTTATCAAATCAGGTGCTGAAGTAGATGACACGTAAGTAATATGATATTGTTTAAAGAAAACTTGCCGCTATTATAATATTAGGTGAAAGTGTTAGGACAACACTTTCTTTCCTCTTTGAAGACCACTGAGAATCAACACACTATTAATATCATAATTTTGAACGCTTAAAGCAGCTGACCTCTAGAAGATAGCAGAAAAACTGCCGTCTTGCTAATATTTCAAAAATCTCCCTCAAAAACATTATTTAGTTGAAAGAAACCGAAATTACACTTCAAAATGTTCATATTTTAGTATTTTTGCTCTGAAAACAAACAGTTCGCGTTTCCACCAACGGGAAAATTCGTCTTTTATTATACCACGGAATTCTTTATCCGGGTTTTTTTTTTAGTATCACGTGGTCGTACAGGACAATATCGCGACCTGTGCTCCGGAATGCACGGAATCCAGGATTTTATCAAGCATATAGGGATACAAATAACTGCTTTTGCTTTTATATTTGTAGTATTTCATGGCACTAAAATTATATTTGATTAATTATTTTATATATATGATGACCAATTAATCAATTTAACCTTTAGCTTGAAATGTAATAGGGGTCTACTAAATGACAAAAAATTGATAAACGGTCTAGGGCATACCGGATTCCGGGATTTTTCCGAACCACTGTTGTGACACGTGACCGCGTTAAATAAATTATCTTCTTCTATTTTTATTGGCTCCTGCGTTAGTAACGTAGTAGATTATGGAAAAGAAAAACCTGATATATTAACGCTTTTGTCAACATTCTTTCTTGAACCAAGGTGTCAGTAATGATGGATTTATACAATAAACCTATCTAGATAAGTATTTTCTGTTTACTTGAAATTTTATTTCATTTTTTTCATTTTACATTTTCATTTTACCATCTGGAGGACAGCTTTTTTGTTTTGATTTGGTTTTACGTCACACCGACACAGTATAGGTCATATTGCGAAGTCCAACTTTACTGGTGGAGGAATACCTCAGGTGCCCTTCCGTGCATTATTTCAGGCACACACGGGCACCTGACTAGAACCACCGATGTTCCGTAAATTAGCTGGATAGCTTCAATACATGAAAGAATCCAAAGTCCCTGTGGGGATTCGAACCCACATCGGTGAGGGGCAAGTGGTTTGAAGTCAACGACCTTAACTACTCGGCCACGGACGCTCCGGAGGTCAGCTACTTAAATGACAGAAAGTAAATTATCTGATTCAGCCTAGATCGCCATGCAGTGTAAACAATTTGAACTAAGTACTATGATTCATGTGTGTTTAAGCAATTAGGCAATTTAATGACGTATATTATTACACTGATTTTGTCCAATTTATTGTATAACTGCAGAGACAATCACGGTAGAACGCCAATAAGCTATGCTGCCGAAAAAGGACTGTTGGAATGTACAAAAAGGTTGATAGATAAAGCGAAAATCAATGAAGGTGATAACGAAATGGTAAATTAAAGAAATGCCACAAGGAACTACTAAACAGCAAAAAATTGTGTGGTGTAGACGTCATTTGTCCATGACCCTCAGCCTGTTTGTCAGCTTCGCTTTTTCGAATTTTCAATTTTTGTGACCCTCTAAATCGGTTACATTGGGTAATCATATCACTCCGGTCCATTATGTGACAAAACAGTCAATCATATTTGTTTCAAACTTAGTTTACCTGATCACTTTCATATTTTGAAGCAATATTAAAAGGATTTAAGCCCATAGGCTAGTAATTCTATGGATTTGTCTGATATTCATACTCGTATACCACTTGTTTAAAAAGTTGCATTTAGCAATAAATAAGTCCTGTGTACGTAAGTCCTCAGATACTTAGTTTTGACTTTATTAAGTTATAAAAGTGTATTAATTTGAGCTTAAATTCACTAATTCTCGATTCAAACCGATTCTAAATTTCAAACTAACGTTCAATATAGTGTTCATTTTTCAAACGCTATCTAGAATAAGTGACTATTGTCATGTTGAGAAACAAAACAATTCGTGTTGTTCTTCTGTTTAGGCTCATTTAGACTTAAATAGAATGTTGATAACCATACTTAATATTTAATGAGAAAAGGGGTGAATTATCCTGATTATGATTGGATGATTACGCAAAATTCCATTGACCTTATGATGGTTAGTGGTTTGTGCAGTTCTATTTTTTAAATACAAATGAAAAACGAATAGCCCTTCGAATAATAACTTTGTTGGATTGCAAATTGAATGAATGATACGTCTGTTTAGTCCATAATGTTATCTCTTCATTAAACCTTAATTAACATTGTTTAACTCTTTTATTGTTCATTATACATAGCTTTTTAATACAATTTATCTTTCCTATTAATTAACAAATAATGATGAATAAGGTTTTCGTTAGTGAGCATCAGAACTAATACATGTATAATACAAAACTACAAAACATTTCCATTGCTCATTAAAGTACAAAAAGAACGATCTAAGTATTTTTAAAAACAACAGATGAAGCCAATACATTATGCTGCAGAGAAAGGGCAGTCTGAAGTGTTTCGTGTGTTGCTTGAAAAAACCGACCGAGATGAACTTAAAACTTCTTTTTGGAATTGTTTGGATCTGGCGATTAATGAAAATCAAGTGTAAGTATTTATCTTATGTTATTGTAACTTCTTCTGCTTCGTTTTCTTCTTCTTCTCTTGTTCTTGTCTTCTACTTCTTCTTCTTTATCTTTTTTATCTTTTTGATGACTAACTTCTTTTATAATTGCATTTTCTATACCATGACATATCTCAAAAAGGCTATGTCATGGGTTTCATCATGATGTATTGCAAATACTATTTGACATTGGATTTTGGAGAAACACAACCACTGTTTTATATTTTCCAGAGAAATTGCTTATATTATCTTTCAAGTGGAAGATTCTGAAAAATGGCAGATAATGATGCAGTCTAGATCAAAGATTGATGAATCTGTTGACACACCAATGAGGAAACTTATAAGAAAAATGCCTGGTGTGTTGAATTTTTCATGTCAGTTGCTATTGTTTGCAAACTACGCAATTACCTTTCTTATATATCGATGATTGCATTTTCATGCTCTTTATCTCTTTTTTTACATTTCGTAAAGTATGCCAAATGCATGAAACAATGAATTTTACATCATATGACAAATGCAATTCAGGTTTAACTTGTTACAAATTATAACATAAAAACAAACTCTTTTCATCTATGTAGCAAACTTTATTTTGGCGGCATTGTCGAGTGTTTAAATTTAATTGTAAGTGACATCTTGATTGTGTTTTGCCTTTGTAATTTTGTGATAATCACTTTAAATGTTATGTTTTAAACTTTTTTCTGTAAGACGTTGCCAAGGTGGTATTTGATAAATGCGTACAGATCGAGTCAACAAAGGATGAGAACTTTAATGTGAACTTCAATTATGAATTTCTAGATGACGCGTGCTATCTAGGCAGATGGAAAGAAACAACACGTAAAAAGAAAGGTTTTGTATTATAATGCCTAAATTTCAACTGATGCATTCACACAATATCTATATGTCGTGACAAAAATCAGAATTAGGGCGTTGAGGGTCACCGAACATACTTTGTGTGATCTGCACGTGAACTTTAATATGTGAGCAGAATTCAATTTCAAGGCAAATGATTTGTCACAAGTCTGACAAACCTAAGGATTTTACTATTGGTTGATTTTTTTGCACAGCTTAACATTTCATTGAGTTCCAATAAACATTTATGTTCGACATTTTTTGTTTAATTAGAAATTAAAAGAATATAAAGACTTTAAAGAATAAGCCATTTTCTAAAACATAATTGACATACATAAAGAATAAACAAACTCAATTCTTGAAAAATATATACAGTTACTCAGAAGAAGTCAGCTACTGGAAAAGCAAATATATGGCCTTTGTAACCATGTTAAAATCAAACAAATACCCTCTGTACTGTATTTATTTGTTATGTGCGTAAAATATGTTCCATTTTATTCAAACCTAAAGATCCAGGAAATGTAGAACAGACAGATAAAGACATAAACAAGAAAACTAGTGAAGGTATGACACACTGACTCATTTGCTTTTCTACTTTATTTTATTAATCACTAGACAAAGTGTTATTAACCATTGTCTACTTTACTCAATAAAAATGTAAATTGTTTTGTCTTGCTTACTTCAAAGGTGTGATATCATAATGATTTGATTTTTATATGCCCGAAAGAATTTCGGGCATATTATATTATACCCCCTGGGTCCGTCTGTCTGTCCGTCCGTTAGCAATTTGGTTTCCGGAGCATATCTTTAGTTACATTTGGCCCACAGTGTTCAAACTTCATCGGATGATTGTCCATATTGGGTAGAAGACCCTTATTGATTTTGGGGTTTATGGTCAAAGATCAAGGTCATTTTTACTTTAAAACTGAAAACATTTGCCGAGGCATAACTTAAGTTCCCTTTGACCCACAGTGCTCAAACTTCATAATGGAATTGTCCATATTAGGTAGAAGACCCCTATTGAATTTGGGTTCACAAGGTCAAAAGCCAAGGTCACTATTACCTTAAAACTGAAAACAGTTGCCGGAGCATAACTTAAGTTCCATTTAGCCCACAGTGTTAAAACTTCATTATATGATTGTCCATATTGGGTAGAAGACCCCTATTGATATTGAGGTTTCTAGGTCAAAGGTCAAGGTCACTATTACCTTAAAACTAAAAAACAGTTGCCGGAGCATAACTTAAGTTCCATTTAGCCCACAGTGTTAAGACTTCATAATATGATTGTCCATATTGGGTAGAAGACCCCTTTTGATTTTGGGGTTACTAGGTCAAGGTCAAGGTCACTATCACCTTAAAACTGAAAACAGTTTCCGGAGCATTACTTAAGTTCCATTTGGCCCACATTGTTCAAACTTCATAGGATGATTGTCCATATTGGGTAGACGATCCCTTTTGATTTTGGGATTACAAGGTCAAAGTTCAAGGTCACTATTACCTCAAAACTGAAAGCAGCTTCCAGAGCATGACTTACGTTCCATTTGGTCGATAATATTCAAACTTCATGGGAGGATTGCTATTTGAAGAGGGTAATACTTTATTTAATTCCCATGTCTTACAAATGCTTCATCTTTATAATAAAAAACAATTTCGGGCATATAATATTTCTTGTTTTAAAAATTGATAAAAAGTGTGAATCAAATTAACAAAACATATGTAAGAAGAAATGTTAATTCTAAAACGGAAGCTCTGTACTGTATATATTTGGTTATGTGCGTAAAATATGTTCCATTTTATTCAAACCTAAAGATCCAGGAAATGTAGAACAGACAGATAAAGACATAAACAAGAAAACTAGTGAAGGTATGACACACTGACTCATTTGCTTTTCTACTTTATTTTATTAATCACCAGTGTTATTTATCATTGTCTACTTTACTTAATGAAAATGTATAATGTTTTGTGTTGCTTACTTCAGAGGTGTGATATCTTAATAATTTGATTTTTATGAAAATGGATAAAAAGAATATAAAGACTTTAAAGAATAAGCCATTTTCTAAAACATAATTGACATACATAAAGAATAAACAAACTCAATTCTTGAAAAATATATACAGTTACTCAGAAGAAGTCAGCTACTGGAAAAGCAAATATATGGCCTTTGTAACCATGTTAAAATCAAACAAATACCCTCTGTACTGTATTTATTTGTTATGTGCGTAAAATATGTTCCATTTTATTCAAACCTAAAGATCCAGGAAATGTAGAACAGACAGATAAAGACATAAACAAGAAAACTAGTGAAGGTATGACACACTGACTCATTTGCTTTTCTACTTTATTTTATTAATCACTAGGCAAAGTGTTATTAACCATTGTCTACTTTACTCAATAAAAATGTAAATTGTTTTGTCTTGCTTACTTCAAAGTTGTGATATCATAATGATTTGATTTTTATATGCCCGAAAGAATTTCGGGCATATTATATTATACCCCCTGGGTCCGTCTGTCTGTCCGTCCGTGAGCAATTTGGTTTCCGGAGCATATCTTTAGTTACATTTGGCCCACAGTGTTCAAACTTCATCGGATGATTGTCCATATTGGGTAGAAGACCCTTATTGATTTTGGGGTTCATGGTCAAAGATCAAGGTCATTTTTACTTTAAAACTGAAAACATTTGCCGATGCATAACTTAAGTTCCCTTTGGCCCACAGTGTTCAAACTTCATAATGGAATTGTCCATATTAGGTAGAAGACCCCTATTGAATTTGGGTTCACAAGGTCAAAAGCCAAGGTCACTATTACCTTAAAACTGAAAACAGTTGCCGGAGCATAACTTAAGTTCCATGTAGCCCACAGTGTTAAAACTTCATTGGATGATTGTCCATATTGGGTAGAAGACCCCTATTGATATTGAGGTTTCTAGGTCAAAGGTCAAGGTCACTATTACCTTAAAACTAAAAACAGTTGCCGGAGCATAACTTAAGTTCCATTTAGCCCACAGTGTTAAGACCTTATAATATGATTGTCCATATTGGGTAGAAGACCCCTTTTGATTTTGGGGTTACTAGGTCAAAGGTCAAGGTCACTATCACCTTAAAACTGAAAACAGTTTCAGGAGCATTACTTAAGTTCCATTTGGCCCACATTGTTCAAACTTCATAGGATGATTGTCCATATTGGGTAGACGATCCCTTTTGATTTTGGGATTACAAGGTCAAAGTTCAAGGTCACTATTACCTCAAAACTGAAAGCAGCTTCCAGAGCATGACTTACGTTCCATTTGGTCGATAATATTCAAACTTCATGGGAGGATTGCTATTTGAAGAGGGTAATACTTTATTTAATTCCCATGTCTTACAAATGCTTCATCTTTATAAAAAAAAACAATTTCGGGCATATAATATTTCTTGTTTTAAAAATTGATAAAAAGTGTGAATCAAATTAACAAAACATATGTAAGAAGAAATGTTAATACTAAAACGGAAGCTCTGTACTGTATATATTTGGTTATGTGCGTAAAATATGTTCCATTTTATTCAAACCTAAAGATCCAGGAAATGTAGAACAGACAGATAAAGACATAAACAAGAAAACTAGTGAAGGTATGACACACTGACTCATTTGCTTTTCTACTTTATTTTATTAATCACTAGTGTTATTTATCATTGTCTACTTTACTTAATGAAAATGTATAATGTTTTTTGTTGCTTACTTCAGAGGTGTGATATCTTAATAATTTGATTTTTATGAAAATGGATAAAAAGAATATAAAGACTTTAAAGAATAAGCCATTTTCTAAAACATAATTGACATACATAAAGAATAAACAAACTCAATTCTTGAAAAATATATACAGTTACTCAGCAGAAGTCAGCTACTGGAAAAGCAAATATATGGCCTTTGTAACCATGTAAAAATCAAACAAATACCCTCTGTACTGTATTTATTTGTTATGTGCGTAAAATATGTTCCATTTTATTCAAACCTAAAGATCCAGGAAATGTAGAACAGACAGATAAAGACATAAACAAGAAAACAAGTGAAGGTATTGAAGGTTATTAACCATTGTCTACTTTACTCAATAAAAATGTAAATTGTTTTGTCTTGCTTACTTCAAAGGTGTGATATCATAATGATTTGATTTTTATATGCCCGAAAGAATTTCGGGCATATTATATTATACCCCCTGGGTCCGTCTGTCTGTCCGTCCGTTAGCAATTTGGTTTCCGGAGCATATCTTTAGTTACATTTGGCCCACAGTGTTCAAACTTCATCGGATGATTGTCCATATTGGGTAGAAGACCCTTATTGATTTTGGGGTTCATGGTCAAAGATCAAGGTCATTTTTACTTTAAAACTGAAAACATTTGCCGATGCATAACTTAAGTTCCCTTTGGCCCACAGTGTTCAAACTTCATAATGGAATTGTCCATATTAGGTAGAAGACCCCTATTGAATTTGGGTTCACAAGGTCAAAAGCCAAGGTCACTATTACCTTAAAACTGAAAACAGTTGCCGGAGCATAACTTAAGTTCCATTTAGCCCACAGTGTTAAAACTTCATTATATGATTGTCCATATTGGGTAGAAGACCCCTATTGATATTGAGGTTTCTAGGTCAAAGGTCAAGGTCACTATTACCTTAAAACTAAAAACAGTTGCCGGAGCATAACTTAAGTTCCATTTAGCCCACAGTGTTAAGACTTCATAATATGATTGTCCATATTGGGTAGAAGACCCCTTTTGATTTTGGGGTTACTAGGTCAAAGGTCAAGGTCACTATCACCTTAAAACTGAAAACAGTTTCCGGAGCATTACTTAAGTTCCATTTGGCCCACATTGTTCAAACTTCATAGGATGATTGTCCATATTGGGTAGACGATCCCTTTTGATTTTGGGATTACAAGGTCAAAGTTCAAGGTCACTATTACCTCAAAACTGAAAGCAGCTTCCAGAGCATGACTTACGTTCCATTTGGTCGATAATATT